TTCGATCTGTGCTTCTCAACCTTTTGAGACTTAAGGCACCCCTCGGAAAATGCCAGCTCTTAATTTGCACTCATCTTTTGACTACAGAAAAATAACAGAGCAATTCTTCTGTGGGCACGAACTCAGAAAGACCACAGCAGGTCAGCATGTTTTTAAAAACTATGGTTACCTGGTTGAAATCTCTGGGCTTCCCTTATGAATAATGCTCATGCAGCTAACATTGCCTGGAGCACCCTTGAAAGGATCCCAGGGTGCTGCGGCACCCTGGTTAAGAATCACGACTTTCCATGCTGCTGTATTTAAAGCGAAAAGAATAATGCACACCCCGCCTCTCCCTCGACTGCCTCTGCAGTCCCTCCGGTTTGTAAGGACGTGTTTGTGTCGGGGCAGGAGCAGAACTCGGTTCTGACACATCTGCTAGAGCCCGGCCTGGTGGAAACGCATCCTCTCGGAGGCCGGGAAGATAAGCGTTCCCCTGCTGACAGCTGCAGAATGCCAAAAGGAAGCTGTCTGCGCTGCAGAGCGCTAGCAAGCTGTGCTCGGCGGGTGGATCACGTATGCAGCGCGCAGCCCCGGAGCAGACGTTAATGGGTGATGCTAGCAAAGCTACTTATGGTCCTAAGGGAAGGTGAGAGGGGTTTGGAGAAGAGCCTGCAGATGCCCTGGGTTAGGCTTGGCTGAGACGCTGTGAGCTAATCTCTATTGTCAATGCTTGCGCAGTCCTAATTAGATTACACCATACACATCCCCGCTCCTGGCAGACAGCATGCTGCAAGGAAGGCCTTGGGCTGCATGCCCCAGATTCACAGAAGTTAGGGGCTGGAAGGGACCCCAGGAGATCATCAGGTCCAGCCCCCCTGCTCATAGGCAGGAAAGAGAAGACTACTGGGTCCAGATGACCCCAGCAAGGTTTGCATCCAGCCGTCTTTTGAAGATCGCCAGGGTAGGTGCCTGTACCACCTCTGGGGGGAGTTTGCTCCAGACTCTGGACACGCGAACTGTAAAGAAGTTTTTCCTTATGTCCAATCTGAAGCAAACTTCTAGCAGTTGATGTCCATTATTCCTAGTCTTCCCCTGGGATGCCTTGGGGAACAGATGCTCTCCCAGCCACCAAGTCCCCGCTAAGTCTTTTCTTCTCCAGACTGAACAGTCCCATGTCCTTCAGCCTCTCCTCGTTTGGCCTCCTTTGGACTCTTTCAAGCTTCTCCACATCCATCCATGCCTCAATGTCCTCACCTGGATGCAACCACCAGCCTCCTTT